AGGTATTCCTGTAAATATTTTCTGAACTGAAAAGAAGAGGTACAGTACAATAAAAGGAACTGTCATACATTGCTGGCGGGAGTATAAGTTGGTGCAGCCACTTTGGAAGACACTTTGACAAGATCTAGTAAAGCTAGGGATAATTATACCCTTTAACTTACAACTCCCCTCCTGGGTATCTGCCCTGGAGAAAACTCTCCCATGTGTGTACAAGATGACTTGCGTAAGAATGTGCACAGCAGCCCTATTAGAGTGAAGAACCAGAAACAACTAACTGTCCACTGTATCAGCCAGGGGCCCAGCAGAGAACAGCTGGCATATTCAAGCAGGGTAATTAAAGGTGCATGGACTAGGCTGCTAACTGAAACCAAGGTCGGCAGTTCAAACCCACCAGCTGCTCCATGGGAAAACGATGAGGCAGTCTGCTTCCATCAAGATTTACAGCGTTGGAAAACCTATAGGCAGTTCTACCCTGTCCTACAGTCGTTCTGAGTTGGAGTCAACTCAATGGTAGTATGTTTTGTTTGGCTGTGGTTTATTTGGGATAGGCTGAGTTCAGGAAAACTATGTAACAGTTTAGTAGTCAAGACAGAAAAGCAGAGCTCTTGCCACCTCTACATCTAGAAGGAGGAAGGGAAGAAGTGGTTACCCAAACCTGGAAAGGGTCCAAGGAGAAGGCTGCCTTGAGAGAAGCATGACTTTCAGGTGAGAAACACAGCTAGCTGAAGACAAGACCACAGAGAGTGTACTGGGGAAAAAAAAAATACGCTCCTGTCTGTTGCCCTCTCCCTCTGATCCCATCAGGGCACTCCACTGACCAAATCCAATGGAACCCAGAAGATGCTGATCCCATTCATGTAGTCCATAGTGATCAACCTCCTGGAGCACAGTGAAGAAAGGAGAGAGTAGACTTGCAGAGGCACAGGGGAGGTATTCAGTACATCTGTCGTGGATGAAATTGTGCACTTCCTCCCCACACCAAATATATATGTGTGTGTGTGTATGTGTGTGTGTGTATGTGTGTGTGTGTGTGTGTGTCTGTATATGTGCTGGAAACCTAACCCTTATACTAGTGGGTGTGATTTTATTTGGAAATAGGGTTTCTTTGCTATGTCAATTAGGTCATATCCTTTAGGTGGGTACTATACCTAACCACTTCTGAGTTATAAAAAGAACAGAGATCCAGCCTATATGACTATGAGACCAGAAGAACTAGATGGTGCCCAGCTACCATTGTCAACCACTCAGAGGGGCATCTATGTAGGAGATCCTGGGTAGAGTGGGAGAACAATGTGGAACAAAACTCAAAATCATTTGGGGAAAAAAAGGGACCAGGTTCGCTGGTCTGATAGAGCCTGATGGAACCCCTGAGACTATGGCCCCTAGCTGCCCTTCAGGTCTGGAACTGAACCCACTCCTGTAGCTTCCAGCCAAACAAAAGACAGGCATATGAGGTGAACATTTACATTAGGTAGATACACTCCTTGGAGAGATCAATCATGGGAGATTAGAAGGGCTGTGTATGCACAGGGAGGCAGCTTGGTGGGCAGGAGTATATGGGAGGGAAGGACACAGAGAAGAGGTAACTGGAGAAGAAGTGGGAAGAAAGCTGTTACATTGTGGGAAACTGTAGTCAATGTCATGAGACAAAGTTTATGTGAAGTGCTGAATGGAAAATTAATTTGCTCTGTAAACTTTCAGCCAAATCACAATAAAAAAAATTAAAAAAAAAAAAAGAAGAACAGAGACAAACACAGGGAAGACAGATGTCATGTGCAAACTATCTATAAGCTAAGGAACCAGGGCTGCAACCAGTTCAAAATGGTTCAATTATTGCTGTTATAAACAAGGGCTGCATAAGTGTTGCAAAGTAACCAAATCTGCTACTTGTGGTATTTTGACCCAATTAGGAAACAAACAGCTTTGCCCCACTTAAAGATGGCGGCCCATTGTACCACTATGAATGTGTGTTGCTCTCCAGAGTCCTGCCAATAATCCAGTCTCCTCCATCAGGCTCCTGACACTTTCAAAAGGAAGGACTGTGGCAGAGTTTTGGAGAACTGTATTATTGGCAGGACTCTGGAAAACAACACACATTCATAGCAGCCTGGTCAGCTGCCATGTTTGAGCAGGGCAGAGCTGTGTTTCCTACTCTGATCAAAAGACCATAGACAAAAGGCTTCATTACTATGCAACACGTACCCGGCCCGTTGTTTACAGCAGCCATTTTGAACCAATTTGAAGACCTGCAAGGAATCAAGGCATGCTAAGGACTACCTACAAGGATGGAATTGATATGGCCAAGACCCTAATTTGGACTTTTAGCCTCCAGAACTGTGAGAAAATAAGTTTCTGTTCTTTAAAGCTACCTACTTGTGGTATTTATGTTACAGTAGTACTATGGAACTAAGACACCTTCTATCAGCAGAAGCTGTAAAGTATGTACTCATATAATGGAATACTGCCCAACAAGAAAATGAGTGAACTAGAGCTACTTACATCAATACAGATGAATCTCAAAAACTTCACGTTGGGTGAAAAAGGCAAATCGCATTAAAACACAAACACGTACAGAATGACACTAAGGCAGATTGTATTTTCCAAAATCAACCAGAGTTGTATTTCTAGTTCCACAAGTTTTTCCAGAACCTTGACACTCCCACTGAGGTGCAAAGAAAGAAAAGAACAAGGCTCTAGAGCAGAGAAGTACACTTTAGATAAGGTAGCCAAGCAAAGTCTCTCTGAGGTAATGTCTGACCTTTAGAACGAGGTGTGAGGCTATAAAAATGTCCATATGCAGTTTAAACCTAACAGAAGGCAAGTTAGGGTAACTTCTTAGCCACAGCTAAGCACCTTGTGGATGTGAGTTGTGGGGCCTGCAGGCTGGGGACCATGGTTGCAGGAGACATCATGCTGAATTAGCACAGCACAGGATGCAAAAACAACTGTTCTACATCCTATTTTGGTGAGTTGCATTGGGGTCTTAAAAACTTGTGAGGGGCCATCTAAGATGCAACTGTTGGCCTCTCCTTGGCTGGAGCAAAAAGGAGTTAAGAAAATCAAAGATGCATGGAAACATAGTTCAAAGGATTTATGGGCCGTGAGAACTTCGGCCTATATGACCCTGAGACCAAAAGAACTAGATGGTGCCCGGCTACCAATGCCAGCCACTTGGAAAGGGATCAAAATTGGAGATCCTGGACAGAGAAGGGTGGGAGGAAATGTGGAAAACTCATAATCATAAAAAAGACTAGCCTTACTGGTCTGATAGAGACTATGAAACCCCTGAGACTATTGCCCTGTGTCACTCTTCAGGCCTGGAAATGAACTCACTCCCATGGCCTAACTCTCAGCCAAACAAGAGACAGGGCTATAAGCTAAACATCTATACCAGGAAGATGAACTCCTCAGAACAATCTGAGAGATCAGAAGGGTAAGCACAGGGAAAAGGGTAAGGAGGCAGAAATGTGTAGGCTAGAAGGACATGGGGAAAGGGTGACCACAGAGAAGAAGTGGGAGGAAAGCTGTTACACTGCAGGGAATGTAACCAGTGTTACAAAACAAATTGTGACAGGGAAAAAAAAAAATGAGATTTGAGGTTGAAGAGCCAAGCCCATTAGCCCTACTATGAGCTGTGAGAGTAGAAAGAAAGTAGGTGGCGAGGCCCTCAGGAAAGGTCTCGGCCCTTTCAAATGTATTTTAAGAAAACCAATGAAGCAGCAGAACCAGGAGAGGGCAAGTGGCAGGCTTGAAGGAACAACTGTGAGCACAAGCCAGCTCATGTAGTGTATTTGGGAAGAATTCCCCAGAATTGGGAGTCCCTGGCTGGTGCAAAGGTTTACACACTCAGCTACTAACCAGAAGGTGCCAGTTCAAATCCACCCAGAGGTGCCTCCAAAGAAAGGTCTGGCAATCTACTTCAAAAAGATGACCAAAAAAAAAAAAAAAAAAACTCACTGCCCTCCAGTCGGATCCGACTCATAGTGACCCCTCCTTGCATTTCCGAGGCGATTTCACTATGGAAGTAGATTGCCCACCCTTCCTTCCCAGGAATGGCTGGTGGGTTTGAACCGCAAGCCTTCTGGTTAGCAGTCAAGTGCCTTAGGCACTACACCACCAGAGCGCCCCCAATTCTATGGCACATAGCTCTACGCAGACACATATGAAGTTGCCATGAGACTGAATGAACTCTACAGCAACCAACTTTTTCTTCCCGGATTACAAAGCCAATGAGTGAATGGCTGGGAATTCAACATCAAGCAGCGAAAAGCCACAGAAGGGAGGGAACCAAGGAACCTGAGGAACCCTCCCTCTGGACTTACTAATACTCACTTGACGCTGAGCGTGTGCCTGACACTGGCGTGCGGAAGCACTGCACGCGCTGTCTCGGAGGTGAGCTGTTATCAAGCTCATCTTCATAGGGAGACATATTAACTAAATCAAAAATCCGGCCACTAAACTTTACCATGGCTCTGGAGTGTCTCGGCTCTATACTGTTCTGAGCTGCATGGTTCACATTAGGAACAACTCATAGTAAGTGACTCTAATTATACACCAAGGCAACGACCTCATAATAAAACTAACAGCACCTAATGTGTATAGAACCCTTACTGAGGGCCACTCATAATCTTACTGTTGTTATTATTCCCGTTTCACGGATGAGGAAACTAAGGCCCACCAGATTTTCTGAGTAACGTGGCCAAGGCAGGAATTGAAAATTTGGTCTAACAAGAAAGCCTATGCTACTATTAGCTATGTTTTGCTCCCTTACTCTCAGGGAGGTTAGTTCAAAGCCAGGTGGCGCCAGAACAGGGCTCTCGCTCAGGTACTCGCACCGCCACGTCGCTTCTAGAAGCTCTAAGGGCGAGCAGTGAACCTCTATTCCGGTGCTGCCCCACAGGTTCCGGCTAGAGACACGCGCACCCGGTCGAAAAGTTCCCCCGGCGGAAGGTTCCGCAGCCCAGGAGTCGTCCCCTCCCCGGGCGAAAGACGGGCAGTACCTGCGGAAAATGCATCCAGGGTCCTGCCCCGGGCTCTATGGAAAACACCCCCCACCTCCGCAGCAGACATAGCGAGAGAGCCTCTAGCTGCGCCTCAGCGTGGGAGTAAGCGGCGTTAGTCTCCAAGGCCTACCCACCAGACCGGCCCCGTTTGGGGCGGTGCCCTCTGCAGGGGCGGGGCGGGCGCGCAGGGCTCTGCAGTTCGGGGCGCTGCTAGTGCTGCCTGGGCGGGGCGGAGGCGCGAGTGGTTCCTCTGGGATCAACCCGGGCACCTGGATAGTGGCGGCCCCTTCTCCCTGGCCTACAGGTCAGAGGTGGTTCCTATAGGGTCGGCATTGGGGCCATTCCCCCACTAAAGATGGGGTTCCCAGATCAACAAATAAAAATGCAGGACACTCGTTAAATTGGAATTTCAGTCAACAAGGAATAATTGTTTAAGTATGCCCCATGCAATATTTGGGAGATACTTATACTCAAAAAAAAAAAAAAGAAAGAAAGGAGCTCTGGTGGCATAGTGGGTAAAGCATTTTAGCTGGTAACCAGAAGACCGGTGGTTCAAACCCAGCTGCTCCACAGGAAGACAAGGCAATCTACTTTTGTGAAGATTTCCAGCCTTGGTAACCCACTGGGGGTCACTAGGAGTTGGAATCAACTAGATGGCAGTGGGTTTGATTTTTGGTATACTCAAAAATGTTCTGTTATAAGAAACTCCAGTTAAAATGGGTGTATATTTTATCTGGCCTCTCTTCCTTAATGTAGAAAAAGCTGGGTCCTGCCTCAGTACAGCCCTCCAGGCCACCAGCTGTGCTCGATCATGCGTCTTCAGTTTCGTCTTCATCATTATCAGCACCACTATCACCATCCACTACGCGTCAGGCACTGTGGAAGCTCTTGGCTGACAACGTACCTATTCCTTGCAACAGTCGGAGGAAGCCAGTGCTGTCTTTAGCCCCTTTGTTAGATGGCGAAACGGGGCTCAGAGAGATGGAGCACCTACAGAAGATGTTACACAGCTGGACAAGCAGTAAAGCTTCCAGAGGGCAAACTAGGGTGTGTCCAGCTCCAAAGGCATTGCACTGAAAGTCTAAGGCAGAGTTTGTTAAACTTGTTAAAAATGCAAATTCCAGGGTGGTACTACTGAATCCCAGAGCTCTGGTAGCAAAGTGCCTAAGGCACTTGACTGCTAACCAGAAGGCTGGTGGTTCATATCCACCAGCCACTCCTCGGAAGGAAGGTTGGGCAATCTACTTCCTTACTGATACTGCCTCAGCAACCCAGGGAGGGGTCGCTATGAGTCGGGTTCGACTTGACTGGCACATGAAAACAACAACAACTACTGAATCCAAATCTTCTGCCTGGTTCTAACAAGCACCCCCAGAGTTCAAATGATCTGGCCATGTTTGGAAAATGCTGTTTGGAACTAGCAGCCTATATCAGAAGCACTGTTGTTGTTGTGGTTATGTGCCATCGAGTAGGCCCCAACTCATAGTGACCCCTCCTTGGGTTTCCAAGGCAGTATCACTACGGAAGTAGATTGCCCCATCTTCCTTCTGAGGAGTGGCTGGTGGGTTTGAACCGCCAGCCCTCTGGTTAGCATTGACTGGCACTATGCTACCAGAGCTCCTATTGGAAGCACTAGAGGCAGCTAAACTAGCCAGAAGGACTGTCCTCTAACCCTGGACAAGAACCACTCAGAAGGCAGTAATCATAGCAGTAAAGAGAGTGAATCCCCAGGGGGTTGTGGGGCCAAACTGGCTGGGTTCTCATCCTGGTTCTACCACTTGCTGGTTTGTGTGACCTTGCAAATTACTTACTTTCTCCACGCCCCAGTTTCCCTATCTATGAAATGGACGCAGTAGAAATACCCACCTCATAGGGCTGCTGGGAAGTTTGTGGTTAGGTGCCTTTAAGTCAGTTCTGACTCACAGGACCCTGAGGACAACAAAACCAAACACTAACCGGTCCTGCGCCATCCTCACTATGACTGCTATGTTTGAGCCCACAGTTGCAAGCATTGTGAGTTAGGATTTACAAGACATACTTTTAAGGGGGACAAAATTCAGTCCATAACATCCAATGGCTCTGTCAGAACATTTCTGATGAGGCCAAGGGAGCTATGCCCAACTACTACCTCGTTCAAAAGGGGGTAATCTCACCAAGATAGTCATAATTCATTTACTTACTCTTGCAACAGTCATTTGAGTGTCTCAAGTGCCCTGCTTGGTGTGAAAGACAGTCAAGGTAACTGCTCTCATGGAACTTACAGGTGAGTTGGGCAAGACAACGTTACACAAATAATTACACCTGTAAACATGTAATTAGCAACCATGCAAAGTGCTGTGAGACAAGAAAACCAAAGAGCACTGCTGTCGAGTCAATTCTGACTCGTAGTGACCCTATCGGGAGAGAACTGCCCCATAGGGTTTCCAAGGCTGTAATCTTTACAGAAGCAGACTGCTGCAGCTTTCGCATGCAGAGCACCTGGTCGACCTTTCCCTTAGCAGCCAAGTACTTTAACCACTGTTCCATTGCAGCTCCTCATGAGAGATGAGAGCAGGGTGCTATAAAAAAGAATGGGGGAGGGCTAGTTTAGATTCAGAGAACCTGCAAGTGTGGAGAGGAAGGCCTCTCCATGGAAGGAGCATTTAAGAAGAGGCCTTGATGTTCCAAACCACATTCCTGAGAGTGGGGAGCGTTGTTCTGTTCAATGAGATCTGGGTACCATTGCCTGAGAAACCAACCAGTTACCATCTAGTTAATTCTTAAGTCACGGTGACCCCATGTGTGTCAAAGTAGAAGGGTTCTACAGGCCACCTCTGGATGGACTAGAACCACCAACCTTTTTGTTAGCAGCCAAAGGCTTAACTGTTTGTGCCACCTAGGCATTCCCTAACAACAGAGGGCACCTAACAAAAGCTAATCCGGCACGTTCCAGGAGTGAGGGTTGGGGAGCATTGTGTATGAGCACTGACTACCATGTTCCCTCCCCACCCTTTAATAAACCGCCTAGTTCTTCCCTCCCACCCTTTGTGACAGCTATACATGTAAAAAGTCCTCATCCGAATATGTTGTTATTAAAGGGCCAAAACCCATTAAATGGGGAAGACAGAGTCTCTTTAACAAAGAGTGCTGGCAAAACTGGATATCCATTTGCAGAAAAAAAAGAAAGAAACAAGATCCGTACCTCACATCATACACAAAAACTAACTCAAGGTGGATCAAAGACCTGAATGTAAAACCTAAAACTATAAAGTTTATCAAATAAAAAACAGGGACAAAGTTAGGGGCCCTAATTTATGGCATAAATAGACTATCAAACACAACCAAAAATGTACAAAGAGCAGAAAATAAATTAGATGAGTGGGACCTTCAAAAAATTAAATTTTAAGTTCATCAAAAGACTTCTCCAAAAGAGGTGAAAGAGAACCTACAGATTGGGCAAAAATACTTGGCAACAACATATCTGATAAGGGACTTGTTTCTAGGGCTTATAGAAAACTTCAACACTGCAACATCAAAAAGACAAATAATCCAATTAAAAAATGGGCAGAGGACATGTACAGACACTTCATCAAAGAAGACATTCAGGCTGCCAACAAATACATGAAGAAATGTTCATGATCATTAGCCATTAGAGAGATGCAAATGAAAACAACAATGAAATATCATCTCACCCCGGAAATAATAGCAAAATTCAACAAGACAGAAAACAAATACTGGCAAGGATGTAAAGAGATTAGGACTGTCATACACTGGTAGAATGGTGCAACCACTGTGGAAAATTGTATGGTGCTTCCTTAAAAAGTTAGAAAGAGAAATGCCATTTGATTCCACAATCCCACTACTACGTGTATATCCTAACAGAAGTAAGAGTTGAACACAAATAGATACATGCACACCCATGTTCATTGCAGCACTATTCACAAGAGCAAAGAGATGGAAACCTGAGTGCCCTTCAGCAGATGGATGGATAACCAAACATACACATATGGAATACTATGAAACATTAAAGTAAAATGAAGAATCCACAAAACATCTCATAAGGTGGTTGAACTTGTAGGACATTAAACCAAACTGGATGAAATAAGTCAATCACAGAAGGACAGGTATTATATGAGTCCACTACTATAAAAAGGGGAGCTCTGGTAGCATAGTGGCTAAGACACTTGCCTGCTAAGCAGACGGCTGGTGGTTCAAACCCACCAGCCACTCCTCAGAAGGAAGGTTGGGCAATCCTACTTCCGTAGTGATACTGCCTTGGAAACCCAAGGAGGGGTCGCTATGAGTCGGGGCCGACTCGATGGCACATAAAACAACAACAACAACTATAAAAAGCCAAGGTAAGATTTACACATGGAAGGAACCTTTCTTTATTGGTTACCAGGGATGGGAGAGGAGGAGAGGGAAAATTACTATCTAGGTAAGAGACTCATATTGATTATGGTGACACAGGTCAAGGGAAAGGCAATACACCAAAAGCGGGAGACCAGCACAGTCTCACTAAGGAAAGGAAGACATGGAGAGGTGTAAAAGAGGTACAGCCAACAAAGGTAAATACCATTGCATACATAATACTGCCTTGTCAGTAACAGCAAATGCTGATCCACGGGTGGAAACATACGTAGATAGGCGAGAAGATGTGGACAAACAGAAAAATACCCATGACCATATACAGATTTGGCAGACAGTGTTTCCACATACATATTTGTAAGTGCTATAAAAATGTCCATATATAATAGAGCTGACGGGCAAAGTTATGATAGATTCTTAGCCACAACCAAATTCCTTGAGGGAGCAAGTGGCTGGATCTGCAGGCTCAGGACCATGGTCACAGGGGACATTAAGCTCAATTGACACAACACAGTACACAAAAATGTTCTACATTCTACTTTGGTGAGTATTGACTGAAGTCTCTCTCTTTTTTTTAATTGTTAATTGGGTGAAAAATTACAGAGCAAATTCACTTTCCATACAGCAGTTCACATATATTTTGTCTCATGACATTGACTATAATTTACCACAATGGAACACCTCCCCTCCCACTTCCTCCCAACAGTTACTGCTTCCCTG